GTCAGCCTAACTGACAAATAGGCTACTTCTGTGATACCACATTTTGCCTACGAATGTCCAAACGAGCAGCATTTAGAACGAATTTCTACCGCATAATATAGTTGTCTTTGTTTTGCCTGACAAATTCCATATTTCATAATAGCGATTTAGGACCCAGTTTAAGCTTTCGTTGTTTGGACGCATTTACGATAAATCTTTAGGCTATGTTGAGAACCTTTATAAGTGACCAAGCTTTGTCCCAAGTATGTCGAACTAGGAAGCGGTTGCCATGGCAGCTCCAATAGTCATGAAATCGAACATTTTCGGCCGCTTGTGTTATGCGACATAACCAATTAATAACGTTTCACAGCCTATCCGTGTTTGTGCACCGTTTGGATTATTGAAATAAACTGCTCGTGCTAAGCCCAATTTTTGAGCCCATAATTTGGATGGGTGCAGTAGGAAAGTTTTTCTGTAAAGAAACGCATTTCTATTGTCCAAGAGACGACGCTTATGAGGTGCGTCACAGCAAGCGTCGTATTTATACATTTGCGCAAGCAGACGCGCTGAGCAGGAGTAATTGCTTGTTGCAGACGAACGGAATCAACATGCAGTACAGCATTCTACACCGTTTGCTTATGTGAAAAATTTAATAGTACATTTGGCGAAGTTTAATACAACGAAAAGCATATAAGGAAAATTGTGAAACTGCTTTACAACCGAAGTTAAACTGTAAGGTGTGTTTATTGGGATAAAGGTAATACATTTTTACAAATGTGGTATTATTGCGTACGCAAATTTATACTGTTTACCAAGAAAGGTTGACGGTTAGGTAACACTAAAATACGGCTTCAGAAACAGATATGCGTTATAAACGTGCTCTTTTCTGACAGTTTTTCAGTGTACCCTAGTTTATTTGGAATCAGCCCTAGTAATAATTGTTTTTAATACAACTGAATTAGTACCCACTAAACAATAGCTTTAGATTCAGGGCTTCTGATGTAGCTGCATGTGCTTTTGCAAAATCCAAGCAAGTTTCATTGAGCATTATTTATCCATAGAAGTGGGCTGTGTACTTCTCACAAGGCATAATTTTTGTATTCTCAACCCTTATTTCAATAGCTACACGAGCGCGTAAGCAATTCGACTGGCTTCCAACTACTGCAAGATTGCAGTATCAGCTCCGCTGTAGTTTCTGAAATTGGTGTGCGTCAGCTTTTTGTCTTGCAATTACGAAGGAATCCTTCCATACTGTTGTCATCTTCCAATTTATTCCGAGGGATGAAGCAAGTCAGTGATTCGATCAATCGGGAGATGCCAGGTTGTGTAAACGTAACGAAAGTCGTCATGACGGCAGACTGCAATGTTACATGTAAGCTACTTGGCTTCTTAAAAATAGTATTTTATGTAATATTTTTATGCAAATTTCCCTACGTACTTTTCTGCTAATCATTGTGTGCTGCACAAAAATTGCTAGGCATACGGTTAAGACTATGATTATCCTAAATCCTCTGTCAAGCGCCACAATTCTTTAAAAATTGTGCTTTACAATGCCTTTAAACTTGCACCTCATAATTGGATTTTCCACCATAAAATTATCGCAACAGATCAAAACTAAGAGAAATGAGAAAAGTTCATTTGCAAATTTTTGATATTCTTCTGCCAGTCAACCTGTAATTCACTTCTGTGTGTTTCCGATTACAGTCCCTAAACAGGAAAACAAATAACTATATATTGGAGTTAATCTTTTGCTTACACATTTTAGTTAACCTTTGCTTCTGTACTTATTTCAGTTATTTATCTTCAGTTTGCAAAGCACGTAGAGGATGCTAATGACGAAACTATGAGGAATACTAATGGTTGTGATGAGGTTGGTCTAGACTAAGATTTTGCGATTTATGCTGTGCAAAAGAATTCCAGCGGTATTAATATATTGACCCGAACGTTTTATTTTATTTAACATAAATTAATTTTATCACTTTATGTGGGTTGGATTTAAAAGCTGACAGCCACCGTTAATACTTGCTGTGCAATATTTTAACAGGCGTCAGGTTAGTGAAGGGTTCAGTGCATCATTTACGCGAGTCAGTTTGTGCAATGTGCATTATATTGGTATACGCTCGTTCAATAAGCAAGAACTTGTTTGCTGGGAAGTATCGTTTGTAATATTTCACTGACTTACTTTTTGTTGCGGCTTAATAGTATTAGAGGTCCAGTGTATACAACGAAGTTCAATGACGTAGTTAATTTCCATGGCTGGCAAAATCTAGTGAAATCAGTTACCAGAAACACTGTGTAAGGCAAAAGCTTGAAATTTACTGGTTCATCCGGCAGTTCATACTTACAGTAATCTAACCATCTGGTAGGCCCGGATTAATCCGGGTTATTTTACCAGGTATGACAGGCTGCCACCGTACACGTGGCTCAGTTACATAGGCTGAAGTAGATGTAACATAATTTGCCTACGGTCCTAGGGTCGATTCCTTGCAGGGGACCAAATGAATGCACATTACTGGCGAGCCCTGATAGTACAAAAGTGTCGTCTGATCTTTTCGGGTTGACAATTAGATTACCATCTTGTAAGCTGCTTGTACAAAGAAAACATTTTCCTTAACAATCCACATATCAGTAAAACCTGAAATGTCACAATTACGTTTGGTATACATTTGAGGCTAAACAAAATGCATGTGCTCTGTGTGATAGGATATGAACTGTAAGTGAAGAGCACTAAACTTCCTTGTACTAATGAAATGATTTGCAATCGAACACGCAGTGCTAGTTTTAGTTTTGAAAGTTTGGATTTTACGTGATTAAGTCAGCAGTTTATAAGTGGGCTTGCCAAATACTTGTTATCAACAAAACATTCAAAAGAATGTGGAGTAGTAGTCATCGTGGATACTTATATATCTTACGTTGCAAAATCGTCAACATGACTGAGCAGCTTTCCGGCTACCATAAATGATGGAAGCCAATGTTTATGACTATTTGAAAACAATGTCACATAAATGCTGCCGTATGCATTAGTTACAAACAGATATTTAATGCGATTATAAACACAACGTGTTAGTTTAGGCCGTATGTGCTCAATGTGCCTTGAAGTTAAGCAACTAAAATTGCCAAACGGACGTTGCGTAGTTATTCTAGCCCGACAGTTGTGTTGCATTCGATATTGGGTGCAATATCGACACTCAGTGATTCTTTGATACTAGTAACAATCAAACCCAATACATCAAACCGTTAATCTAATAACTGCTGACAGTAATATAGCGTGCAGTAGTCCGGAAACAAAGTTGAAGTGAACTTACTTGTTTCATATCGTGAATAATTTCCGTTTCAGCTCTGCGAAGACCGTCTGGCATATTAGGTCATTTTCGGTTATTCAACGTCAAGCCAAATACAACACAAGTAAATAATAAAATACAGAGGTATGTATTGAAGAACCAAACTATAGGTGTCAAAGTCTCCAAAAATGGTGTGAAATGTTCATATGCAAGCTGCCGGACGACAGCTAGCTATGGTAAAGTTAAAGCTTTGACAAATTGTCCTTGCTCACACAGTGTTGGGTTGTTGAGACGAACAATGATCTACTTCACTAATACAAGAATTCAGTATCGGATATGGTTAGTATGGACCCAACAAACACAGCTCTTACGAAAGGCTTAATTAATAACGACAGGATGGTTCGTTTGGATTACTGCGCGGCTATTGCAGGGATGCACGTATTGTTTAATTCTTGGCTTAGTCACGCTGATAATGCCTGCGGTTGCATTCAGACAAACGTCTTTTGGTGCGACTTATGTGACATGCCTCAAGGGAACAAGTAAATTGGTACCCACAAAAGAATGTGTTATCCACAAACACTATTCCCTACCTGAAAGGGCATGAACGTGTACATACTGCGTAATTGAAGGTGTTCAGTTTTGCTTCTCCCAAAGCTGAGTAACACCGAGCCATCTCTAGTTAAAAGAATATGGTTCTTGCAATCATAATGACCGAGATCTACTTCAAAGTGAACCGAGGTCTGAAAAGGGATTGCGTGTGGCCATCCCACCACACAGCGCGTACTCCGAATCCAAGTTTGAATATTGCGTAATCGTACGACAAATTAGGTGTTAATGACCACCTCATCTAATTGCTTGCTAAGCTGTCTTTTCTGAAGAACAAATTAAAGTATACGGTTTGTTTTTCTGCCATCGTTGCTTTGGCCAGCACGCAGTGGATTAACGTGTTTCTGTCAATAAAGGCCTCGGGACAGACCGTTATAAGGGAACGCTTTCCTTATTACGGCGCCCTCTGTCCTACATGTGTCCATGAAGCATATTTTTTCACTCTTACAACGAAAAGTCGGAGTAGAGTTTGTTCCTTGGAACTAACAAAGAGCGATCACAGTGCGTATATTAACCAGTCCATGTCGTTATCATGTAGCCTTCACACTGCAGCCAGCCATCTGGTCGACGTGGAAATGGGATCTCCAGCAAATCGCCAATTTTGTTTGAGTTAATGGGTTAAAAATAAGTGGAGATGCTCAAGCATCGATTGATGGGCAACATAGGTAATAAAACGGACGCAAACAAATGGCGAACAACCTAGCATAACATAGGTTTGAAACATTTTGGAGTAGAACTTGCAAGGGGAATGCAGATAAACCAGCTACTTAGTGACAATCCAACCGAACACGTAAAAAGACAGTTAACGCTACAAGGAGCTACCTATCTTTGCCACTTGTGAAGTTGCATTTTTGCTATGAATACTAATGTAAGGATGGTGAAAATAGTGCAAAAGTGCAGTAGTCAGTGTAGAAGCGCGAACACAAGCCACACTCAATACTCAATGGAACTGTTCTAATATTATAGGCAAGCGTCCCTTGGAATAACCCAGAGTGGCCTTCAAATAACCTGTTTTGAACTTATTGTAATGGTGGCACGGTTTGAAGTGTTTTGCATGCATACACGTGACACTAATCTGCCCAGATTGCTGTTAAATTTTGCAGTACATGTAAAAATTCATTTTCAACGTTTCAGCTACGCAACAGCTATTCCAAAGCATATACAAGGGGTGGATATCACAATTGTCGTGTCACAGGCCAACCATGGAGACAAAACGATTTCTTCATTTATGCCGTTGTTATTCAAAAGTTTGACTCAAAATCAAAAGGGTGTTACGATGTCTTCAGCGAAGATGAAATCTCGTTAAGCGTTGAAGCGCAGTTTAATTCGAGAACCGTAAACTGCATCATTTACAGAATGGACCACTACCCGAAGATACATGAGGGTATGTTTATGACGTATTAACGTTTTGAATATATAATGGTTTATTATTTACATTGCCGTTCGCTGGGTTTCTTAAATTCAAAAATGTGAACTGTGATTTGTAGGACTATTTTTCTTGGTAATGTTGGTGTTATACTTTGTAATTTACAGAAAAATAAATATTTTTATAATTGTATCCATTGCAATATTAAAAATTGTATTATGTGTTCGGTGGAGGTTATAGTGGATAACTGTGTATAGTATGGAAGCGTTCAGCAATTGATCCATGGAAGTTTAATGCAAATAGCCATTTCATAGGCATTTGGATGGTTCTTCTCATTCGTCTAATAGGGGTTGGAGTTAGATGGAGACTGCACCTGAATTTCACCTCTCGGTGATCTGTTAGCGGACGTCGTTGTTGCCAATGCAGGACCGAGCCAGAAACGATCGTGAACGTCGTTTATAATAACGGGTAGTGCTTTCTTAAATTCCCACCGACACGAAATGAAACAGTGGGTTAAAACAGGTAAAATGTACCGGATTGACATGAAATATAGGTAGGTAACAAAAAGAAATATAATTCAAAGATGAGGTAAGTGGACCGAATAAACTGCACACCGGCTGAGCTACAGAGTAATGGGGTATAGAAGGAGGGTCATGGGAGTGAGAAACCAACAGGCAAAGGGAAATAACTGGTAGTCATGGCGAATAATCATTGCAACTAACAACAGATTGCTCACCCAAATACTCTGATTTACATAAGTCATTGTTGATCCTAAGTTCAAATAAGCTAGTTAGACTGAATATATCCAGATTATTCTTTCATGTAGTAAAATGTAAAGCGTTTATTTCGATATCCAGTCGCTTCTTGAACACCGCTAATATGGGGCGCAAACAAATGAATTTTAAAGGGCGTATCAGGATTAGCAGAATCGACAATCTCGGTGGCTGTGTTACGGGCTAGTGCCCCTGAGATTCGTGTTCGGGATGAAGTTCAGTAGGTTGTGGCATGCAGGATGGTGGTAGCACAGTAATTAATAAACCACTAAGTCTACACAATGCCTTCGGTAGTGTCCACTGAACAACCCTATTGTCTTCAGTCGTTGTTGGTTCGGAAGGTTGAGCAATCCTTTTGCAAAATACATAGCTCGATATTGGGGAGTTTTGAACGCTGCACGGTAATGCTTTAGCCAGGAATTCCAAGTCTGGATTGCATATTCAGCGTGCGGAAGCAAGTATGCATTCGAAATCGGCGGGAACATGGATGAATTTGAACTCAAGTATACCCTCCGCAGGAGACCAACATGGTAGTCACACCCCTTTGAATACGGCTATGAGAATCAGAGAAGGACGTCGGAGTTATCAACTCCTTGCCTGTACCTTACTCTTGGCACTACCGCAAACAGTTGCCATCTATAGCCGATGTAATATACCTATGCCATTTGGAAGCTGAGTTACGTGTTAAAAATTTTGTGTCGCCTATTTTGTTACCTTGACGAAAGAGTACTGTGATTCATTTAGCTGGTTAAAATTCTACCAATCTACCTTCTGTCTCCTCGATTTCTTAGTACCTACTATCCCATTTGTTGACTGAGTACATTATATGTAGCAGTGCCGGTAGCTTTGCGGAATGATATACGTCTGTTACTGGTAGCTCAGATGGCATGCATCTGTTGCATTATTTTGCTTTTAAATATTGTGTCAGGGTGGCTGAGGTGTTTTCCACCTCTAGCTAATGTGTATAGTAATGAGGATGACCGATAGCTTGCTACAAAGACATTTTTGACAATTAGCGAGTGTTTAAATATATTCCTCAAAGTACAATTGTCTTAGTATAAGTAAAGAAAAACTTACGTGCTAATTATCGAAGCATCCACGATTCTAGTGAATATCACAAAACAAACAGTAAGGCCAGGTGGGTAATAATTCAACTCTGGCAGAGCAAGGAAAGCAGGTCCCAAACAAGCATATAAAGCCGCTAAACTTAATTCTGGTGTTATAAGCCTATAAACTGGAAATGCGCGGAAAAATCAACAGAGGGCTTATAAGTAGTACAAAGAATCCCAATGGCAGTACTATGGAATGTAGTTCCGTAAAGACCTAAAAAGACTCAACGTTGCATGAACGACTTCGTTACCATTACAAACCTTAAATTTTAAATTTCATCAACTCATTACTTGGCACAGCAGAGAAGAGAAACCTCTCTCAAACTAAGTGCACTTTTTCTCAAATTTGCTGAATGCCACTGAATACTTTCGCGACTTCGGCACCACACTTTAAAATATTCGGAAACAGTGGCTCAACTGTATTTTATCTTCCGTTGGTTTACGCAACTTTTAGACAACTACAGTGAGTTACCTTATTTGCTTACTTAAGTTGTGCAACTTACGCAATGTTTGCCGCTTAATTACAAGTTTTGGCACAGCATCTCAGTGATCAGACAAGGTAAAACTACACTTAGTCAAATATGCACACACAAAGAAATAAGTTTAAATGACTGCGTACTTACGTGCTGTGTTACAGGGGTATGTTGAATACTAGCCTGTTTCATAGGCTACTGGTTAGTTTATACACATATCGCTTAAAAACTGAATGCGCATTGCCAGCGGGTCCATGGGATGAGAAAAAAGGTTTCGCGTCAGATTTTGTGAACTCATTCACCTGCAATTGCATGCATCATTAGTACTATTTATTATTAACCTTTATTACGATATTGTCACATGCCGTTTGATTTAAATTATAATCAATATTTTCAATCTTTTTCGTTAGCTGCAAACGTTTACGGACCGTTGAATACTTCCCTCTGCAATGTTGTGAGTCACAGTGCTCAGATTGTCTCATATCTAACAATGGGTCGATGCGGGTTGTTGACAAATCACTTAGCATGTGCATGCCTAAAAAATACGTTGCTAAATCTTTGTGACTCCATAAGCCTACAAGCATTTAACGAATGCCCTTAAAAGGAAAACTGGTACATGCTCACTTTTAATCAAGTTCTGCTTTGCTTGTTCCTTGTCGGCAAGAAATTCAGTTAGAGAATCTCTGGACGTCTGTTTTGCATACTATCGGGGTTTGGATTATACCTTTAGGACAAAAAGTGACATACAACATAACCGCAGGAAAACACTATTAAAATTAAGCAAATTAGTGCGCACTGAAGCAATTATCCATTCCATGTTGCTTACATGTAAATGTTCAAACGGACTTCCTCAGTATTTGAAGAAAACTTTGCGCGCCAATGCAAATTTGTCCTTTATAGAGTGGCGACGTTGAAGTGGCCCCGTACGTTATAACTCTTGTACATACTTCACAAGGGAAGTACCTGAAATACCGCTTCGCCTTTCGTAAATAAAACTTTACCGGAGTATGCGCAACGACTCCGTCAAGCGTGCATGAATTAGGTGGGCCGGCGCCGTCTTTCAAGGTAGCCTTTAGCCTTTTCAGTCAGCTGCAGAAACCCACATATATCTGGTGGGTTAAGGTAACTACAGTACAACCAGACCGTAAATCTGTTTGAATTCGGACAACTTAATTTCGTTTGGTTAATTTCAGAAGCGGCCAATGTAAAACAGACATTTCGTCAGTATGCATTTACATTATGCTGCTTCGGTGTTGGTTCACAAAATCGTTGCATAACGCAGCAAAACAAAGTTAGCAGCCTCATAGGTACGTAGCTGCAAACGTTGATGTTCTTCGCTGGACATTGCCATAAAGTTTCATACGGCGTCGCGCATCGATAGGTAGTTTCGGATACAAATTACACACGTGTTGCGCTGTAGCATGTTAATGCTGACACAGACATGTTGGTCTTAACTGCGACGTCACGGCTAACCTATGTTGCATTGGCTGCCGACAACGCATTCTCATAGGTGTATTCACCTATACTGTTTATTGAAACATGTCAGGTAACCACGGCGTGACTAGCAGAAATACTGAGGTCAGCTCAGGGTCCAGAGTGGAGACGACGGGAAGAATTTCCTCAACCGAGGCCTGCAATTTGCCCAATTACATGTAGCGAAAGGAGGGCCAACGGCAACAGCCAACGGAAAAAGTGACTTAACGAAGTTTTCTTTTTCATCAATAAAACACGAACGTTGTTAAGAAACATGTAATCAGTAAACATACTTTACTTTTTGGCTAAGCCATAGATCGCGAAGACAGATTTGCTTCAGTAACATTTATGAGATGATATACATTAAACCTAGGACAACCATTCCTAGACGTCAAGCGCTTTTCATGGCGCAGCGGGTATAAGTGATTGCGAGGCAATATGAATTTCACGGCCCGTCGTGGAGAGCACAGCATCTTGAAGGATAAAAACAAAAGTTAAGTTAAACACATGTAATATTCGTAAATGACGTATGACATATTTACCATATTGTAAAAACTGAACCATTTTATTTATGCCGGAGCACGTTTATTTAGAAATAAATGCCGTCCTACAATACTCTCGCACTAGGCACCTGAGTTTCTAATTTTGCCCACAGTACTGTAACCAAAGACCAACACAAAATAATATCAACACAAAAAATGCTCCACGGTTGCTGCAAATTTCCTAAAGGAAAGCCAGTACATTAGTAACAATCATCCTGCGAATAAACAGGAATATTTAAATGCGTCATTTTTCTTGATTATGATGAGCCCTCATCTTGGTTTCATCTTGACAACATAATTAGATCCAAGCTTACGGAAGACTAAGCTAACGTTGTATATTACTTATCTTATTGAGCTTTTGCATTTCACGGATTCTCGAAGACCGTTACAAGATTTCACGTCATTTATCATCCACAAATGCCAAACGCAATCTAACCTGTTCTTAAAGTTTCAGTTCCAGGATGATTCCAGCTATCGCCAACTGTTTGATTCCTGCACTTTCCGTCCCTGGAAGAACGCGGCATATTTTGTAGGCTTACCCACGCTATATCGTTTGACGTTAAAGCAACCGATCTACCTATCTGACTTGCCAATATACAACAAATGGCTTAGTTCCATTTTATTGGAGCTTAATCAACCCCATAGCGA